CTAAAAAAAATTTTTTTTTTTTTTTTTTTTATTTATATATATATTAGGCTTTACAGTTATAACAGGTTTATGAAATTAAAAGAAATTTAAACATAACAAAGTATACATAAAAACAAAGGTGAACAACAAATATAATAAATGAAATTCCTAAACTGCATGACTAGGATGCTAAAAAGGTATTGCTACATCAGGATAAAGTGCAATGGAAAATACAGAGTAGTATTTCTACGAACAATGAAAGTCAAATCAGTGTTGATGCTCTCTCATCATCTGAAGTGACTGTGAAATCATCTACTGTGCACCCATGGACTTCATTCATTTGGTTTACACACAGGACTACAGAAGAATTAGATAATTAGCTATAAAAGGTAATTAGGCTATCAGAAATGGCTCATATGATGAAAAGTTAACTATAATTTTAGAAATAACAGAAGGGATTTCTTTTATAAACATAATTTGGGAATTGGAACTGGGTATTTAAGAGGAGATTGACATTTTGTTGTTATTGTTGATGACTATGAGAATATAGAAATCTTAAATGTTTTCATCAGTTTTCACTCTAGAGGATACTTACTGCATTACTGACCATGAGGATTTGTTTGGAAAAAATTATTCATTTGGTTTGCATAATGGACACCAAAAAAGTTAAGGAATTAATTAAAAATGAAATTAGAATTTCAAAAATGCTTAAGATGAATAGTTGGCACAGTGTTAGAATTAATAGTAAGGATTTATTTTGTAAACAAAATATAAGAATGGGAGTAGAGTTTTGATGTTGATTATGAGACTGATAAGCTAATAAATTATGTTTTCTCATCAGTTTTCAAATGAGAGGATTTTCGTTTGATTCTTGATCTTGAAAATATGTTTTGAGGAAAATTCCCAATCATTAGAAGGTGTTTGGTGTGTAAAAAAAGGATTTTAAGCTAGATGATGTCAGAAAAAAAAAAGTTTTAATATATTAAAATTCTGGAGCTAAATATATATGTAGCTTCAAAAGATGTTAAGAACCAGATTTCTGGGATAAGTTTACAAAATTCAAAATTATTTCAGACAACCAACATGGATGCAGAAAAGGAAGACTGTCTTATTTGTCTATTAACCTTTTTTTTTAGAATGTTACTTATTATTTGGATGAGGACAAAGAAAATATTTTGTTTGCTTGAACTTTCAGATTATTAGATAAGTTGTTAAAGAGAAGATTTGTCAAAAAATTACCTGAGTCTGCATTTTGTTTTTTGGTTTGGTTTGTGTGACATTTCATGCAAAGCTACATTTGAGTCTGCATAGGGATAATTCAGTTACAAGAAATGTTAGCGGGATGGGAGGAAGCTGAAAGTTGTTATTACAGAAGTTTCAATATAACTAGACTTATGTTACAGGATCTCTGCTAGGGCCCTTGCTATTCCTCATTTATATTAATGATGCTAATAGTTTAGAACTTAATTTTTCTAATGATGTATGTCTTAATAAAACTGTAATGACTGATTATTAAGGATGGAAACAGTTTTCAAATAAAAATAAATATGGCTGATGTGATGAATTATTTTCAAACATTTTGGATTAGTATCCAGTTTGTTTTCAGATGACACATCTCTAAAGGGGTGTTCTTGAAGACTCAATTTAAACCAATTTTAAAACATTTGCCACTAGTAAATCAAATCTAGCTTCTTGTAAAAGAAAGTATCTTAATCAATAAAAATCACCTGTTCTTAACAACAACCTACATTCCCTACAACTAAAATTACTTTAACTCACCCTGCCTTGCTATCTATTAGTTTTATTTGATTAATACTTTTTTTCTTTCAGCCTCCTCATTCTATATAAGCTTAGTGTTTTGACATATATTTTGTCAACTTGTTATTGTGCTAGTAGGAAAATCATTGTGTATATGCATATATATATATATATATATACACACACACACACACACACACACACACACATGCATCCTTATCTTATATTCATTTTAATTCTGTAGAACACATTGAAGATGGATTAAGTACAATCCAAAACATTTGTGCAATTGGGTGTTTTTCATTATATCAGTCCTCACTTTTCATTCTAAAAATCTTAGGTCTAGCTGGATGTAATGAAGATGGTATGATTATAAAGACACTTAAATTGGCTGTAGAACCACATGGCAGATGGTATTTAATTACAAAGGATGCAAGGATATTAATGATTATCATAATATAAGTGACATAAAATTAAGATAGAAATCCTTTTAATTGATTTCAACAAAGAAAAGGATCTTGGGGTATTGGTTGATATAAGTCTTAAGTCTGCATGACAGTGTTCTATTGTAAGTAGTAAAGTTAAGAATTTTGAGTTTTATATATAAGATGATTGACTAGAAGTGTAAAGAGACCATGGTTTCATTTTCTAAGTTACTGGTATCCTTATGTTAAAAAAGACATTCATTCAGTTGTGAGAAAGGATCCAGAGGAGGTCTTCTAGGATGATTTTGGAATTGATATTGTTTTGCCTTATGAGGATATATTGAGATCTTTTAACTTGTTACCTCTTCAGAAGAGTCAGGACTAACGAAGGTGTAGTATTTATAATTGTTAAATAAATTGATAAGCTCTAGTTAGGTTGTTTGGTCGGTTGCAATTTTTTGGTGCAAAGCAACCAGGCTTTCTTCACAAAAAAAAAAAAAAAAGGTAAAAACCGTGAAAGTAAAACAGTTATAAAATGTAAAAAATAAATAGAGTTAAAACCAAACAATGTCCAAAATTCAGATAAAATATTTGAATAGAACTAAAAAGGCCAGTGGCTCATAAAACTGATAAAATATAATCAAGTATGATATTGTCACCATCACCAATGGGCTACTGTGACTTCAGTGTCATATAGGCTACACACTAGTGGTCAGTACCAGATAAAAGAAAACTGAGTTAAAAAATCATGACCAAAGCATAGCCTAGTCAGGACAACTTCCTTCCAATCTTTATGGAAACAAGACAGCCAAAGAGCAACAGAAGTTTTGATCTGGAAAAGCTTGTTATGATGTTGCTCACCCCAAGTCAACTGCCAACTGGCGCAAAGCTGTGCCTTGAAGAAAGGACTGTAGTCCATATATATGGGATAGGCACAGCCGTGACAGCACCAGAGCAGACAGACTAAGCTTCAGTTTCAGCAAGCTTGTTCCCGCAAATACCAACATGGCCAGGTATACAGAAAAACTGGATACTAATAGAAGATAGGGAAAAATGGGCCAGTCGTTGTTGAATATGGATGAGAACAGGGTGAGAACTAACATTAAGTGGTTCCAGGGCCAGTATGGAGCTAAGAGTCAGTGTAAATACTACAATTGCTGTACTGCATAGCTTCTACATGATCCAGGGCAAAAGAAATGGCATACAACTCAGCAGTGAACACAGAAACAATAAAGCGGATCCTGTGAGCCACAACCAACCATGGCAGAGCCCACAAAGTCACCAGATTTCGAACTATCCGTAAATACAAGAATAGAAGAATGGTTTGAAAGCTGTTCAGCAAAGAAAATACGGTACTTCCAATAAGGAGTATCGGCATTCCTCAGATGACTCAAGGATAGGTCACATTTGGGGATGGTAATAAGCCAAGGTGGAATGGGCTGATCATCCAATGCTAGACCCAATTCAGCCAGTTGTGCCTGGATACAAAGGCCAAAGGTAGGAATTGCAGACTGTCTGTTCTGAAAGAGTACAATCCACCGAGGAAGAAAGACACAATCTCAGGTAGGATGCTGTGGTAAGGATTGAAGCTTGGTAGTGTACTGTAGTGAAAGTTGCAAATGGTAGAGGTGAAGAGGAGGTTTGTGGGACTCAGTGTACAAACTCTGGACTGGAGAAGTGTGGAAAGCCCCCGTGCAGAGCTGAAGCCCAAGATGGTGAATGGGGTTCAGCATCTTCAAAGCTGAGATCCTAGTAAGACCAGAGACCTATAGTCCAGTTTGGATCATATAAGGGCACAATAGATCTTGAGCACAGAACATTGATCCACTCCCCAAGAGGTGGAAGAGAGGACATGGAGAATGTATGGCGCCCTTATACACTTGACACGTAGCTGCTTTATGTGAGGAATGAAAGTAAGCTTATGGTCAAAGATAAGCCTCAAGAACTTTGCTTCAGGGACCACGGAAAGAACAATATCATGGAGACGGAGTTTGGGATCGGGGTGTAGACCCCTTTGTTGGCAAAATGCATGCAAACGGTTTTGGAAAAAGAAAAGGTAAAACCATTTGCTGTGGTCCACTTCAACAAGCGATTGAGGGCAGTCTGAAGCTGTCACTTAATAAACCTCATGTTCAATGACCTACACGAGATGTGGAAGTCATCAACATAGAGTCTATTAGCAACAGTAGGAGGAAGTTGTGTAGTGATAGCACTGATCTAGATACTGAAAAGTGTGACACTCAAGACACAGCACCGGAGGGACTCCAAGTTCCTGTGTGAAAGAACGGGAAAATGTTGAACCCACATGGACTCGGAATCGCTTATCGAGTAAACAGTTCTTAATAAAAATGAGTAGATGGCCAACCAACCCATATGAGTGGAAGTCCCACAAAATGCTGTACCTCCACACAGTGTCGTAAGCCTTCTCAACATCAAAGAAAACAGAAACAAGATGTTCCCTCTTGAGAAAGGCTTACCTGATCGAGGTTTCAAGCCGAATCAGGTGGTCCACAGTGGAGTGCTGTGGAAAGAACACACACTGGGTGGGCAAGGTTGTTTGATTCAAGACAAGCATTAACCATCCTCTCTAACACCTTACAGACAGAGCTAGTCAAAGCAACTGGACGATAATTAGAAGAAATCTTGGGATCATTCCCAGGCTTAGAAAAAGGAAGGACAATAGTCTGGTGCCAAGCATCAGGAAAAATGTTCTCCTGCCAGATCCAGTTAAAATCAACCAGAAAATAGCAAGAGAAGCAGGAGAGAGATGGCACAGCAACTCATAGTGAGCATCTTCAGGTCCGGCCAATGTACTGCCAGACCGATGTTTGAGTTCCACCCAAGTGAGGGGCGGTTAGTCACAGAGACTATTGGCCCAAAAGGAAAGTGGCAATTGCTCTGCCTGAGACTTGATGGCCAAGTTCCCAGGAGAAGAAAAAGAAGTGCTGGAAAGATAAGCAAAGTTCTCACTGAGAGTATTGGCAATGCTCTGTACATCAGCAGCTTCCTGGCCATTGGAGAGCAAGATGGAAAGGAGGTGGTAAGAATACCGCCCATTCACCTTCCAAATCTTGTCCCATATAACTTTAGAACTGGTGGTAGAATAGATGCTAGATGTAAATTTAATCCAAGAATCGTTTTGGCTTTGATGTCTGACCTGCCAAGCATGGGCATGAGCTCGCTGGAAAGCGATGCTGTTCAAAAAAGTGGGATACCTGCAAAAAGTATCCAAGGCCTGTTTCTGAGCCTTCCGTGCCTGCTGGCAGGCTGGAGACCACTAAGGATGAGGATATCATGGGAAACATATCAAGGAATATATGGCCATACCTTACAGTTCAGATAACCAACCTTTACAGTGGCAGTTGGATGTGGCAATGTAAGTATCAAATAAGAACACTGGTAGGCAGCATAATTCCTTCTTTACAAGTGGAGATATGTCGCACTGCAGAAACTCCTTGGCTGGAGAAACTAGCAGGGATCTCCTACATGGATTCCCTCTCAACAATAACTTCTTGTGAGGAATTCAAAGTAGCATATGAAGTAGCCTCAATGGGTATATCCCCCATGGCCTTCAAATTCAAGAGTGTTTTGGTGTAGATGTTTCCACCAAGATATCCCCAGAATGTAGCTTCTTGACTGACTTTGGAGAGCCAGCAAGCCCCTCTAATCCCTTCTGAATAAAAAGGGGAGACATTTGCCCTGAAGGTTTTTCTGACAAGAAATGTAAGATCAAAAAACGAGGTACAGGAGCAAGATGAGTTGAAGACTGAAGATCAAGAGTCTTCAAGGTGTGGTCGGTTACCAATGAGCTGTGTTTCACTATTTTATTTTGTTGAAGATTTGGGGGATCCATAGTAAATGGAGAATGGTTCAGTGCTCACTGAACCCATCCACCATGGAGTCCTATGAGGGGACACACTACAATGCCAAACAAGGACACTGCAGCAATGCCAAGGCTTTATGAGCACTATACTCAAACACCAGCACCAGACACAATGTCCACAATACCTGTTGAGAATGCCCAACACTAGTACTCAGTTGACTCTAGCCATACAAGACCAGCTGATTGACCCAAGGCTACCTGTATACAGGAATTTAAGGCCAAGGTGGTGTGTTGCAGTGCCCCAGACACCACTCAACCACCAGTATCCTCTCCTACCCTTCACGGGTCAACACGCATGGCAAACACGTGAGTAGATGTTCAGATCCCAGAGGAGGTAAACTGAAAATACAGGGGCTTCAGTTAGCTGTTGTTTTTGTGCTGAATTCTGAGGTGAGTAAGACAAAAGGTCATAAACTTAAGATTCAGTAAAGGCAGACACATTTTATTTGAGGCAGTTTTATATATCCATTCTCATACATATGCAGAACAAAGTGCCATCTAGAGTGGCAGAGGCTGCAACTTTACAGGAGTTTAAGAAAATTTAGAGTGGGAGGGGATGAGGGCTGGATATACAGTGATTAGTACATTTTTGTTTGTTTAAGGATGTTGGGATTTAGTACATCTTTGATGGTCCAAAAAACTTCTTGATGTCCCATATTTTATTTACTTAAAATACTATACTATTAATAGATATTTTTGCTAAGCCTAAATTTAAAATATTGAACAAACTACATTACTCTGATCATGAAGCCTAACTTTACTCATGTTCTTTGGTAAAAGGTTATGAGCAATTACAAGAAATCATCAATTCACTCTATGATGTACTGGTTAGACCTAATATGAAATATTATAAGCATGTTCAGTTTTAATCTCCTTGTTTAATAAAGGGTGTTGAGTTCTTGGAAAGAGTTCAGGATAATTATAGGTATGAAGGAACAAGGAGATTGGTTAAATCTCTCTTGAGGTAAGGACTCAAGTGGAGGACACGAGTGAGGTATGTAAGATTGTTACATAAATGCTGATGATTTTTTCATAAACAATTTTGCAGGCAGTAAAACTAAAAGACACACGTTTAAGATAATGCAAACTCAGACATAACTCTCATTAAGGCAGTGTTTCTTTCCTAACTGGTTGGTCAACTTATGGGACAGTTTGCCCCCGTGTGATAGAAGTTGCATTATTAAAGGAGTACAGTAGTAGTAGTAGAAAATGGGTAGCCAAGATGGGCCAAATGACCCCTTCTCGTCTATTAAAAATTAAACAAAACTTGGTCTTAAAATCCAATATCCACATACATGTCAAATTTTGTGGTCTGATATTGGCCTTGCCATCCTTTGCTGAATCTTTTTTATAATGGAAACTGTAATTTTAGGCTAAAATGCATAATGATGGCCATCATAATGAACATGTTCTACAATGAATGAAACAGTTCCGTAGTCTTAACCTGGAAAAACAAAGATCTGAAATATTGTTCTTATAAAGTAGAATTAATTAACACTCATTATTTTCAAAGGTTTCAAACATTTTAAAGGAGATAAAATATCATCTCAAAATATTATAATCACCTTGACATCAACCATATAAATGTTGTGGTTTCTTCCACACCTGTATTTGTTTTGCACTGTTACAGGTTGAATATTTTTCTTCATTATTTTTGAAAACATAATTATTTTTCTTTTTTGTTACATTATATCACTCATTGGATTATGAAATGATGCCTAAAACTTCAAGTACAATTTTGTATATCTTACTGCACATGTAAAAAAAATCATTTCATGATTTAACATACCTGATCTCCATGAAGAAGGTCTTCTAACAAATCTGAATTGCCCCAGAGAGCAGCTTGATGAAGAAGTTGCCCTGGAAACTCTTCAGTTTCTTCATTCATTCTTCTTTAATTCAGCTATTTGCTGAAGTGTCAATTTTTTCACTACTAGTCACAACAGAAGACATGGTATGCTAATTAAATAAAAAGTGCATTAAACAGTACCCAATTTGTTTCAGGGAAGTCAGTACATTTATGTTAAATTTTTACAGTTTTAGAATTAAGATTAATTTCAAACAGGTACTTACCTCTGAAATACTGAAAGCTTTTCCTTCTTGAGTTTTAATTCATGTTGTCAACAAAACATGTGACTTAAAATTTTTGAATGCCCTTTATACATTACAGAGCATGTGTCACGTACACATAATTCTTCAATTTCCCAACTTTCATATGATTTATCGTTCAAGAGTCAAGATCTTAAATAAGCTCTGCTTTCCCATTAAAATTTAGGTATCACTGAAATTTGTAGTCATGAGGAAAAATAGGTTGTGGGGAGGCAGGAGGGAAGGTTTTTCAGGAGTAAGTATTTGTTGGAAATTCATTTTAATTCTAAAAATGTAGAATTCAAATCAGGTAGATTTATTTCCAAAATAAAAATTGGAATACCCACATTGTATCTTTAGGCGAGAACAAATGAAGATCAAAAGAAACCAAAAATATAAAACTACAAGCTATAGGCAGGAAAAATAATAATCTAAGCTATAAAAAATATGTAACCAAGTAGAATTCAATTAGAATCACCAATCAGAAAAAAAAATTAAGAACTGGATTTGACAGAGTATGAGTGAAGTGGATCAACCG